AGGAGAATCATCCCTGATCCCAGAGCTTGCAGTATTCCAAGGTGTGGTTTGCTGAGCTTGGATCTTGGCGAGTTCCACAGAAAATTGGAGTGATTGCAAGCTTCTTGTATGGGAAAGCTCTTTCTCTCTGATGCTGACAAAAGCAGCGAGAGTGCATTTGGTGTTGGGTAAAGCTGTTCAAAGTTGGCTGGGAGCACCACATGCAACTGTTCCTCAATGTTGTTCCTCAGTTCGGCACTCTTGAGAGATGTGATTCCATTCTCAGCCCAAGATTTTGATGTGTCAACTTCATAACCAAAGACAGATGTGATGGTGTTGGCATATCTGCTGGAGAAGTCATCTGGACCCACAGCTCCAGTCACTGCAGTACCAAGCAGTCTGGAGTCTGCAGTACTTGCCTTAGCTGGATCGTCTGCCAACCCCCACTGGTCAAATTTGGACAGCCAGTAATCTTCATCAAGAGCAAGCTGATGTTTGCTCTCTGGTGCCAGTGGGGTGTATCCATGCTTTTCGGCAAAGGAGAGGTTCAGCTTTCCAAAACAATGTAGTGCTTTTCTTGACAGGATTGGTTCATTATGAAACTTGTGGGACTCCAGCTTTCTTCCCGTGACCTGTGTAACCAGGTACAGACTAATCAACCTTGCAAAGAAGAAATTTGCACTGACATCCCCGATGATGCATGGAAGCAGCAATTTGGACACCAACCAACTAGCCGAATTTCTGTCTCCGATCCCTGAAGGTAAGAATCAACAAAGAAATAAGAACTGTGAGATTCTACCAGAACTTCACAACACTGATACTTTAACATCCCTATATGGATTTGTTGAGAACACCAACTTACAGGCCATAATATGCATATCCCAATCAATGTACAGGTTGTTCCATACATTTGTATTGGATGAATGATCCATCAACACCTTCTTAGATTGGGTTGTGGCTGTCATTACAGGATTTGTAGCAAGTCTCCTACCAACTTCTGAGTTTTCCTTGTGTCCATGTTTTTGTTCAAGCCAAATTGCCTCAAACATGTTCAAACACAGGAGATTATTGATTGTGTCAACCTGTGCATCAATGGTTGGGCCTTCAGGTGATCCCAAACTTTGTTGGACAAGATTTAGCAGTGCAGCAACTGACCTGTTCTTGATCCAAAGGAAGAATGGCAACTTCCCATACATTGGGTCTTGTTCTGGAAGGTTTAGCATCTCCTGTAGCTCCACCGGAGTTGTCTGAACATTCTGGCCATGAGCCTCCCATGTGGCATCATCTTTCAGCTTCTGTTGGATGCACTCAGCATTATCCACCATGAAGGTTGTCACCCATTGAAGGACAAAGATTTGATGCACAAGCTGCAAAAGGAAATCTGTCCTATCATCAATTAAAATCCAGTCTGGATTTACAACAAGACTGTGAGCAAGCTCGCAGATGGTGGGGTGCTTGTCCTCAAGATGCTGCTGGATTTGGGAGCACATTGCTTGCATTGCGGCTGTTGTCTTGGTGGCTTTGGACCAAGCTTCATCAATGCCAGAGACCCCAGAAAGATGAAGCTCAGAGAAATACTCATCCAACTTGCTGGGATTGCACTCTACCGCCTGAACAGCTTCAACGGCTTTTGTGGGGAGGGTATATGTGTGGCCAAGGTCTACATCAGAAAGCTCAGAAGATCCAAATGGTAGTGTCAGTGATCTTCTCCTGATTTCATGTTCAGTTTCTTCATCCAGGTAAGACTCATTGCTAGCAATGCCATGCATAGAAAAGCTTCTCTCAAGGAAAGAGATTCGTTGACTCTTCTGATTAGGCGTAAGCGCTTCCTGCCTCTTGAATTGAAGGAGCATAGAAGCTTCCTTCCATTCACCAGCAATTGTAATCTTCCTGATCTCACTCCTCTTCAGCTTGCCAGAGGTCGTTTTGGGTGTCACACCAAGCTTGAGAACAAGAACCTCAACAGCAGACAACCCATGCACCTGAGATACATGGTTGGAAATCTGGACAGCCAAGTCATGATTTGCTGACTTTTCAAAGGCCCTCCGCCCCTCCACTGTGATTCCAATGCTGTCCTCCCCATGCTGGAAGGCAGTGGTCCTGCCTGGACGGATAACATCACCAAAGAGACCATCAATAGAGAGCTCCACATCAGTTGGATAGTAGTTCTTGCCATTGATGATAATGACATCTTTGACTCTCCCAGTAACATAAAGCTGTCCATCAACCACCTTGCCCAAGTCACCAGTATCAAGCCAAGTCCCATCATATTTGGGCAAAGCATTGGCAAAGGTGGAGGTAGTAAGCTCAGGCTGGCCATAGTAGCCAGCAGCGACGCGAGGTGATTGGGCCCAGATAGTCCCAACATGTCCATCCTTAACCTCTTTTCCATCCTGTACAATTCGGAGCTTGAGGGTCGGGGAATCTACTTCTCCACAGCAGACAAGGCCCTCAGAGTTGGGGTATGCAGACCCAGCAGTGAGGAACACCACAGACTCAGCAAGTCCATAGATGTTGTAAACATTCTCAGGATTGATTGAAAGTGTCTTTGCTGCTGCTTCCACAACATGGCCCTGGGCAGGTTCCCCACCAAACATGGCGCGCCTTACACAACTCCAGTCAGCTTTTTGATTGGCCTGCTCCAAACGTTTGAGAAGCAAGGCATAGGCAAAGTTGGGGGCACAGGTAAGGTTTGCCTGGTATTTCTCCACCATCTCTGTCCAAAGCAGTGGATTCACCACAAAATCCAAAGGAGATGCCATGACAAGGGAAGTTCCAGCAAAGACGGTAGTCATAAAACCAGCAACAAGGCCCATATCTGTTGGAGCAAAAGGAAAATACAAAAATGAGAGAATTTCAGCTTTTCAAAAACGCAGTATCAGCCAATTTTATCTTACCATGGTACTGTGGAACCCACAAGGCTCCCACTGTAGTACCAGCATTGGAAGCATTTGTACCAGACATTGCAGAAATAGCACTGCAATTCTCAGCTAGATTGTTGTGCCTGATCAGAACTCCTTTGGGTCGTCCAGTGCTGCCAGATGTGTACTGAATAAAACACACCTCCTCAGGCTCCCCATTGTAGGTTTCATATCCTTTGGGCTTGTTAGTGTTCCTCCTCTTGATTGACAGGTTATCTGTTCCAATCCACTTCACTCCAGTCTTGTAGAGGACACTAGCTGCAGTCATGGCAGTAGCAAACATGTTAGTCGAGAGAGCATACTTGGCCCTAGCATCCTCGGCAAATCCGCGGAATTTGGGCATATCAGTCTTGAGCTGATTGGGATTGGGTGGATATATGGAGCAAGGGATGACTCCTATCTTCATGGCACCGAACATGCCAGCCAAGAACTCGAGGCCAAAGGGATATGCTATCATGACGCGGTCCCCCTTTTTGCATCCCAGTTTGAGCAGACGAGCAGCCACAGCATTGGATTGATCTTCCAGTTGTTTGAATGTCATCTTGTTTTGCTCTTCACACTTGATATCTACCCAAGTCAAGATAACCTTGTCGGGATTTTCCAAGGCATGGTGGCTGATGGCTTCAAGGATAGTTGAGAAGCCCTTCATGCTCGTTGATTGCATGTCTTCAATTATTAAATCTGTGTTGACTTTTTGCAAATTTGTCTACTAGAATAATGAGACAGAGATCCTCCTGTCTGCAATGCCATGGTTGCCTCGATTGGTCGTTTGGGCTTTTATGCCGGGTTCGGTCGTGCCCATGATAGCCTGTCTGTGAAGTGGGTGCGCTGCTTGAGAATGCAGGGCCGCCCTTCTCGTTGCGGGGTCCGTCCCGTATTTTTTTGCTGGTTTGAGCTGCGAGAATGACCGCTGCCTTCAACCTTACTGGTACTAGTACTTTGAGGTTGTCCTCGAGCCTTCTCAATTCTCAATCGCTCGGTGAAAATTTAGAATTAGAGGACTAGACTAAGGGATAAATAAATACTACTAAATAGATACGTTAAGGAGCGAGGGGGACTAGACTAATAAAGGACTCGACATTGCGTCTGTGCGCAGTGAGCGCTACTAGCTGCGCTACTAGTGTGTGCTTGGCGCTGTCAAGAAGTGTGAGTGACATTCAAAAAGAACTCAAAGTCATTTATTGCTCCCCCCATCCTCTGGTGATTAAGTCTTCAGCTCCCTTCACATTCCCAAGCCCTTGAAAACGCATCTCCGGTAGCAGGTAGCCGGTACGATGTACCGGTCCGTATGGTACCTTGCCCAAAATCACGCATCGAGTACCCGAGAGACAGATGCATTGAACTGCAGATAGCCTCGAATGAGCTGTTCCAGAAGGTCTCACCAAAATTCTACCTGTTGGGCCGTTCCTAGGTATAGCAGCAGGCGCTGTCATTGTTGCCTGCAGTACATGTATGCATAGTTCATTCAGACATGTGCAGTGGTCGTACTACCGTAGCCTCGTGCTCTCGGAGACTCGATTTCATCTATCCGTCTTCATTCACCAGCCACAATGACACAACCCATAGACAGTCAAACATATTATAGTCGCATTGATTGCCAGTGGCTCTCCGCGGTGGAAATACCGGTACTTGTTAGACTAGCTAGCTAGTAGCTTCAATGGCAGCACGCTCGTGCATCGAGCCTAGCTGGCTAGCAGTGTCCACATACTAGTAGTAGAATCGTGGTAACGGTGAAAGTAGGGAAGTATACCGTATTGTTACTGTGGTACCTCGAGCAGAGTCTTGATTATTTGTCTTGTGGTTGCCGTGGTCATGTGAGTCAAAGTCTTATCATGTCCGCATTCTTGATAAACCAGCAGCCACTGCTCTGCCTAGCTTAGCCCCCCTGGCTCCTTTATGTATCTATTTAGTATTTGTAGTCACATTGATTGTTCCGGTTATGATAGGACACGAGTGATAATTGACGTAGTCGAGCAAGAGATGACGTTCGTATTGATGCGGAAAGTGGTTTGATAAAGCACACACCACATTCCTGCCACTCGTTGTGAAAACGAACAGACCAGAATTACTAATGTATTTATGAGTCATGTGATCAGAACCAACGTTTGTGTGGGTACAGGTAGCCTCCTGGCTGCAACCAAAACTAAAGTCAGTTTTAGTTCAAGTTACTTGGAGGGATGGCCAAGAGGGAAGTGATGTAGAGGTGTGCGATACTACCGGTAGCTAGACCTTCTCCCCTGTTTACTTTTAAATCCGTACCAGCGAGAGCGCAGGTGCCAACATTGATTCTCTAGAGTTTACCGCCATCATCTCCCGCACACTTCGCTCGTGGCGTCGTGATGCTGAAGGATTTCTGCCTTCATCCGAATCAGAAGCCACCAGCAGCCAAGTTGCAAAGGGCTGAATGAATCGAATCTTCACAACTCAACATCAATGATTCAGCCACGCAGCCACAAAGTTGAAAGTGAACTGTGGCAAGCAAGCACCTGGAAACTTTGAGTGTTTGTGCGTTGGCTGCATTGAGCACTCCAAGGAGATCCGAATACAGCAGACAAGATTGCCACCCACAGCAGCGGGTTCCAGGCAATGCAACGGGGTGTTTCTCACCTCTCTGACGGACTCCAGTAGCAGTGCAGCAATGTCAATGCCAATGGAAATGCAAACTCAACGCACACCAACCTTTAGAATCGATCATGCCAAAAGGTGAAGGCCCATGATCATGTTCGTAGCACTGGCTAGCTCCTATCATATCATACCGGTAGCTGTGGAGGGTCCGGCACGAAGTGGAACAATCGAGAACGCCTCAAAATCGCACGATCGAGTTTGATCGCACATTCCTTCCACCAATTTGTTCTCCGTTGGATACTGAACCGTTACAGAAAGATATATGGAAAACATTCCGAAATTTCTAACCTCAGGCTGGCGCGGGTTACCTCCAAAGATATTCGGACAGTTTGGCAAGATTGATGGACAGATCTACGTACTGCAATCCAAGAAGCCATCATGAATTGCGATGCGCATTAGAAGCGACTATTGGTATTAGCTAGCTAGCTAGCTAGCTAGCTACGGTACGTGTGGTACCAATGCGTCCATGCAGCTACAGTAGACTAGGTGAACTGAGGAGAAGAGCAACTGTCTCCATCTCTCTCTCACATCGAGCTCACAAATTTGAGCCAGATCACAACTCATTCGCAACTTCCTTTCTCAACAAGTAAGTGAACCATGAAGATCATCTTTTCAGCTATCGTTTCCGCGTTCTTGCTGGCTGCTTGCGTGCCGAAAGCAGCAGGGCAGTCCGCGGAACAGTTCTTGGCCATTCATAACATGACCACCCTGTTCTTTGACCGCGATCCTGGCCTTGTGAGGCGACTTGTGCGCATGGCCTTTCACGATTCCATGGGCGGAATGGATGCGCACTTGGATCTTAACAACACCGAGCACGATGGGTTGGCCGGCACCTTCCGGCTTCTCAACCGCCTTTGGGAGCATAATGCGATGCTGGGCAACGAGACCGAGCATGATATGGAACGATTCGGAAACGGGACCATGGGTGGAGGACGAGGACAAGGACAAGGACAAGGAGGTGGAGGCTTGAGACCTCAGGGCGGTGGCGACCGAGGCGACCGAGGAGGAGGCGGCGGCGGCGGTGGCGGCGGTGGCGGCGGCGGAGGTGGTGGCGGAGGAAGACGACTTCAAGGTGGCGGCGGAGGGGGGCAGCCGGGAAGAGGGCCCCCAGGAATGAGAGGTAACAACACCGGCATGGGACCGGGAAGAGGTGGGCGCGGCGGCAGGAATGCAACGGCCATGTTCCTGATGGGTCTTGAGCCAGTCTCGGTGGAAGGTCTTACCAAAGCAGACTTCTTTGCTTGGGTTTACACCTCTGCTTTCTACCATACCGTCCCTGGACGCAACGTTCCTTGGATCCCCCTTCGCTTTGGACGTACGACTGCGCATGAAGCCCAACTCGAGGATACTCCACCCCTGTCAGCATTTGGAAGCCATGACCGTGCCGCTGTCTTGGAATACTTTGACGAACACTATGGATTCAACGAAGGCCAGGTGGCCGTCCTCATGGGCGCCCACACCCTTGGAGGTGCCAACCGAGGTAACTCAGGGTTCACAGGCACCTGGACCTCGTCCCCTGGTGTTTTCAACAACGAGTACTACGAGAACCTCATGTTTCCTGGCGGCAGAGGAGGCTGGGAGCAAATTGCTGTTCGAAACAGCACCCTGTTTGAATGGCGATGGGGTTGCAACAACAGGTGCCGAGACTTGATGTTGAATGTCGACATGAACTTGTTCTACGACCTCGATGACTACTTCGTTGGAGACGCTGGGCAAGTCATGCTCCCTGATCCACTTCCTGCTACGGCTCCTCCTGGACTTTGCAGCGACCCTGAACATGTGTTTGCAGTGTGCTTCCCTGAACGGGAGGGCTCTGCAACCCATCAGCTTATCACGTTTCTTGAAGACGGAAACGGTGAGATGTTCTTGGACAACTTTGCCACGGTGTTTGGAGACATGCTTTCGAGAGTCAAGGATGACGCTCCGTTGGGCTATGTTGCCTCTCCACATGACTGGCCTCGTGGTCTGAACAGAGGCCGCGGAGGCCCTGGAGGACGGTATGTTCAATACTGTGAGCCCACTGTTCTTTTTATCTTCAATCTTCTCACACACCGTTGATTCACATTCTCCCATTCTTTGCTTGTCGCTACCAGTGGTCGTGGACCTCCTCCTCGAGGCTGCAACGTGGACAACAATCCCGATGCCATTGCCGCCATGATGGGTGAAGATGGAGAAGAAGAACCTGGTTTCGAATTAGATTTTGATTTTGACGAGGAAGTTGAAGGTGTTGACGTTGAGGTTGAGGACGTCGAAGGCCTTGATATTGAAGTCACCGCGACGCGGACTGCGTCAGACCCCAAGGAAGTGGCGCAAAAACTGAGTTTCACGATTTTCCCGTAATTGAATAAATGTTGCAAAAGAGTTGTTTAGTTTTAAAATAAGGAGGTACCACCCGCTTTTACTCCCGTGTTTGTTTTGTTGATCCACAGTCGATAGCTAGATACTCATTCCAAAACATGCACCATGGCCATGAAGTCATCCATGGGTCAGTTGAGCTGTGCCAACGAAGAATGCAAGTCTTTTGGCCAGTTGAAGTGTTCCGAAGTGACCAGAACATCTCTGCCGAAGAATTAAGTCAGCTCATGTGACAAAAGCAGGAGAGAACGAGGCCAAGGGCTGTCGAACCAAACACACTGGAGCCTTCCCATTTTCAACTCCTTCTGTGGAAATGAATCCTTTGGGCCGAGGTGCACGAGCCGCTTCCAAAAGAGGACGAAGAGAATGGGGACTGATGAAACAGCGCAAGAACACCAACGCCTTTGAACTTTCTTTGCGAGAAGCCATCAACCGTTGCAAACACCACAGGAGGGCCCTCCGAGCTGAGCGAGACAGCACGGCATCTTGGAGACGAGCCCACTTGGAGATTTATGTTGTTTCTTTCTCTCCAAACTACAAAGATCACAACTTAATATGACGAAAGAAACAAGTCTAGCCATACTTGCAAAGCTAGACAGCAACAAAGTAAGCACAGATATCCCAGATATTGGTGGATCCTTGGAGGCTCCCCTATAGAGCCATGAGACACTAGCTAGCCACCATGCAGCCAGCTTTGTCTCACAATCAACTATCTATTGTATGCATTCAGTGCAGTTGAAGGATGTACTATACAGCAGCTGGGTCGTTCTCACACCATCAGGTATTACTGAATTACACATCAAAAGCAATTGGCATCTGATAGATATCGTCTTCCTGCTGAGTTTCAATCAGATGGTCTGTACGTCCCTCAGGATTCTCCACATCTCTCAACAAACTTTTAGATTCCTGGGCACCCATATCACTTCTTTTAAAGAAGAGCTTCCATGGACCATGTTCGGCAGCAGATACCACTGATCCAGCAGAAGCATAGCAACCTGGATGCAACAACCCAGAGACATAGGTGTCATCAATGGTAAGGCCATTGCCATCAATGTAGTGTCCGGCCACATGGGCGCTGTCAACGATGGAGCAACCTTGGAAGTGGAGGTTACCATACTCGTACAGAGAATTTCCAAAATACCAAAGGTCACCATCCACCTCAGCCCCCATGAGTCGAGCAAAGTAGGCAAACATGGGTGTACCATAGAGAACCATTACAAGCCAATTTCCAGCACGAAATTGTCTTACATGGTTGATGTAGATACCAAAGAAGATCTGCTGACCATTGTGCGGAAGACTCAATAAAACCTTCTCAGCTGCTTGGGTCAAGAGAATCCAAATAAAGAGTTGTAGTGTGAATGCAACTGTCAAACCGCACGCAGAAACAGTCAAGGAGGAGCTTTTTGTGGCAGCAAGACCAATTTCATAGGCAGGGACAATGCTGGAGAAAAGGACCACATTCAGCAGTTGCTGTCCTAATTCTGGAAGAAGCAAGGTAAAACTGCTGACATTCTGTGAATTGTCTGAATGATTCAAATTGTAGACACTATCGGAAACGTTGGATCTTGGTGGGATTTTGGATTTGATAATCTTGACTCCTGAATGAAGGTTGGAATTGTAGCCAATACTGCTGTTGATGATTTCAATCTTGGAGTTTGCTTTTTTACTGAGGTCAAGAGTGCTGGTGGGAATGAAAGAACACCGAATCTTCACAAAATCTACCTTGGAGGGGAAGAAGATTGTGTATGGGTGGCTGAGGGTAGATTTCATATCAACGTCAAGGCCATGGAGGAAAAGGATGAAGTGCCACACCTTGGACTGCCCAAAGAAAGGAATAAGAGTCCAAGCTGCAATCCGGAAGTGGAAGTCACATGCCCAATTGGAGGCTTGTTTCCAGAGTGAACCTCCATATTCATCTGATGCATCACGTTTCCCAATCAAAAGCCATTTGAGAGCAATGCTGGTGAAGATGGCAAGGAATGAAGTGGTTGGAAAGAATAAGAACCAATGGAGGATTGAATCATAGCGCCAGCTGGGCAGGAGTTGGTTAAGTGTCATGTGGACGAGATATGACAGTGCAAAGAAATGGTATGCTTCAAAGATTGTCCAAACTATCTTGAAGACATCCAACATAGATTCGTCAAAAGAGTGTGTTTCTTGATGTTTGAATGAGCCTGCATTGCATGCTGGGTTGCCTTTGGCAAGGACATGAGCCGGCACCAATGCCCCCTCTTCAACAACAGATAGTTTCTCCACTTTGCTGCCCTCTCCAAGCTTGACTCCGGGGCTGATCATGCCAGACAACTTACTATGCTTTCCGACCACAATGGGGCGGAAGGTAATTTTGGGATTTGATTGTTCTGATTGAGAGAATTTCCTGCACTTGATGGGATACCCAATAGTGGCACTGCTCTCTACTCTGACAAGATCAAATTCACGAATGTAGGATTCAATCTTTGCAGTCCATGCAAGATCTGCTCCAAGGAGCCTGTAGAAAAGCCATATGTACTTTGTTTCTTTGAAGAACTTGCCCGCGAGTGATTCCCAGACCTCCATGAGACTATCAACGAACCACCATTGTAGATAATCCCATGACAATAGGTCAATTTGTCTTGGTTGATACCTCCCAACAACAGCATACTTGCAGAGCACTACAATCACTGACAGCGATAGTAGGAATAGAGGGAAAGTTATGGGCAAGAGCACCCATGAGATTGGACCATTGCAGCCTTCATGAGATGAGCCACATGTGTCCAATACCCAGGAAACAAGGAAGCCGGATGGAACTAATGAGCACAAGAGCAATATAAGGATCACAATGATGCCAAGAGTTTGGAGCACTCCTAGCTTTAGCTTGCTGAGCTTTGATATTTCTGAGTTCCAAAGGAAGTCAGAATGACTGCAGGTTTCTTGCTTGGGGAAGCTCTTACTCTCTGATCCTTTCAAGAAGACTGATAGCTCACTCGGTGTTGGGTAGAGCTGTTCAAAGTTTGCCGGAAGGACCACATGCAGCTCCTCTTCCACTTTGTTTCTAAGCTCAGCACTCTGGAGGGATGTGAGTCCATTCTCAGCCCAAGTCTTCGATTTGTCAATATGCGACCCAAAGACAGACATGATTACATTGGCATATCTGATGGAGAAGTCGTCAGCATCTGCAACTCCAGCAACTTCAGTGTCAGGCAGCTTGGCGTCTGCAGTGCTTGCCTTAGCTGGATGGTTTGCCAACCCCCACTGGTCAAACTTGGACAACCAGTAATCTGCATCAAGAGCAAGGTGATTTTTGCTCTCTGGTGCCAGTTGGGTGTACCCAAACTTTTCTGCACAGGAGCGGTTCAGCCTTCCGAAATATTTTAGTGCTCTTCTTGACAGCATTGGCTTGTTGTAGAATCTTGGAGACTCTATTTTTCTTCCTGCAGCCTGTACAACCAGATACAAGCTTGTTGCCCTTGCATAAAAGAAACCTGCATTGACATCTCCAATGATACAGGGTAGCAGCAATTTGGATGCCATCCAAGTGGAAGAGTCCTCATCTGCAGACCCTGTGAAAACAAAACAAGAAGATGATGCCTTGAGTTGAATTCACTCATGCTGACATCATTCACGAGCAAAACAACTTACAGGAAACAAAGTGCATGTTCCATGCAACGTAGAGATCATTCCAAGTACTGCTTTGATTCTCAAGAAAAGCCATCATAGATTGGGTCCAAGCAGCCTTGATGGGAGAGGTTGCCAACATCCTTCCAACTTGTGAATTCTCCTGTAGTCCATTATGCTGTTCCAGCCAAACTGCCTCCAACAAATTTAGACACAGCAGTTTGTTGATTGGTTTAAGTTGTGTTTCAAGAGGTGGGTCTTCAGGACAACTCAGACCCTTGAGGACTAGCTTCAACAATGCAACAACTGACCTGTTCTTTATCCAAAGGAAGAACGGCCACTTTCCATACATTGAGTCTTTTTCTGGGAGGTTCAGCATCTCTTGTAGCTCCGTTGGGACTGTCTGAGTAGTGTCATGTGAGTTTTCCCAGACGGCATCATTCTGCAACTTTTGTTGCATGCACTTCGGGTTATCCATCATGAAGGTTGTCACCCATTGAAGCACAAAGATTTGATGCACAAGTTTAGAAAGGAAACATGTCCTGTCATCAATTAAAATCCAGTCAGGATTTTCACTGAGAGTCTTGGCAAGTTGGCAGATGGTTGGGTGCTTGTCCTCAAGATGCTGCAGGATTTGGGAGCACATTTCTTGCATTGCAGCTGTTGTCTTGGTGGCTTTGGACCAAGCTTCATCCATGCCAGAGACCCCAGAAAGATGAAGTTCCAAGAAATACTCATCCAACTTGCTGGGATCGCACTCTACAGCATGAACAGCTTCAACAGCTTGGCTGGGTAGGGCATTTGTTTGGCTAAGGTCAATATCAGGAAGCTCAAGAGATCCAAATGGAAGTGTCATTGATCTTCTCCTGATTTCATGTTGAGTTCCTTCTGACAAATAGAACTCACTGCTTGTAACCCCATTCATTGCAAAGCTGTGCCCAAGGAAAGAGCTCCTCTTGAAAGACAATGCCTTTGCTTGGATAGGAGACGGCTTTGCCTGTCGTCGGAATCTTAGGAGAACATCAGATGCCTTCCAATCACCAGCAATAGTGGTCTGGCGGATCTCACTCCTCTTCAGCTTGCCAGAGGTGGTTTTTGGTGTTACACCCAACTTCAGAACAACAACATCGGAGACAAGAAGCCCATGAACCTGAGATACGTGATTGGATATCTGAACAGCCAAATCTTCATTTCCTGATTTATCAAAGTCCTTACGGCCCTCCACTGTGATACCAACACTGTCTTCTCCAAGCTGGAAGGCAGTGGTCCTACCTGGACGCATAACATCCCCAAAGATATCATCAATAGAGAGCTCCACATCAGTTGGATAGTAGTTCTTGCCATTGATGATAATGACATCCTTGACTCTCCCAGTTACGTAGAGCTGCCCATCAACAACCTTGCCCAAGTCACCAGTATCAAGCCAGCTTCCATCATAGGCTGGTAATACATTTGCAAAGGTAGCCGTGGTTAGCTCAGACTGGCCATAGTATCCAGCAGCCACACGGGGTGACTGGGCCCAGATACTCCCAACCTGTCCATCCTCAACCTCTTTTCCATCCTGGACAATCCGGAGCTTGAGGGTCGGGGAATCTACTTCTCCACAGCAGACAAGCCCCTCTGAGTCAGGGTACGCAGAGCCACCAGTAAGAAACACCACGGACTCAGCAAGTCCATAGATGTTGTATACATGCTCAGGATTAATGGAGAGGGCCTTTCCTGCTGCTTCCACAACATGGCCCTGGGCAGGTTCCCCCCCAAACATGGCACGCTTTACACAACTCCAGTCAGCTTTCCGATTGGCCTGCTCTAAGCGTTTGAGGAGCAAAGCATAGGCAAAGTTTGGGGCACAGGTAAGGTTTGCCTGGTATTTCTCCACCATGTCTGTCCAAAGCAGTGGATGGACCACAAAATCCAGAGGTGATGCCATGACAAGATGGATACCAGCGTAGAGGGAAGACATAAAACCAGCCACAAGGCCCATGTCTTAAGTAGCCAAAGGAACAAAAATATATTTAGCAAAGAGTGACGATGCCATGTCCAGCCCAACAGCAAATCTTACCATGGTATTGTGGAACCCACAGGGCTGCCACAGTAGAAGAATCCACATTCGACATGCTCCCAATAGCCCTGCAATTTTCTGCTAGATTTCCATGGCTGATCATGACTCCTTTGGGTCGTCCAGTGCTGCCTGATGTGTATTGAATAAAACACACCTCCTCAGGCTCCCCATTGTAGGTCTCATAACCCTTGGGCGTGTTGGCATTGCTCTTCTTGATTGGTAGATTATCAGTTCCAATCCACTTCACTCCAGTCTTGTAGAGGACACTAGCTGCAGTCATGGCAGTAGCAAACATGTTAGTAGAGAGAGCATACTTGGCTCCGGCATCCTTGGCAAATCCACGGAACTTTGGCATATCAGTCTTGAGCTGGTTGGGATTGGGCGGATAGATGGAACAGGGGATGACTCCAATCTTCATGGCTCCAAACATGCCAGCCAAGAACTCGAGGCCGAAGGGGTATGCCACCATGACGCGGTCTCCCTTTTTGCATCCCAGTTTGAGGAGACGAGCAGCAACAGCATTGGATTGATCCTCCAGTTGTTTGAATGTCATCTTGTTTTGCTCTTCACACTTGATGTCGACCCAAGTCAGGACAACCTTGTCGGGAGTTTCCAAGGCATGTTGGCTGAGGGCTTCAAGGATAGTTGAGAAGAACATCATGGTTGTTGATTGCATATTCCTGTGTTGGCTTATCGTAAGTTTGCCTACTAGTAATTATGAGATGAAGATCATCCATCTAAGCAATCCATCGATCCATCCAACCTGGTCTGCCAAATCCCTCGATGGTTCACTGATGCCTGGTTCGAACGATCGGTCGTTTTTCATGCCCGGTTCGGTCCTGGCGGGTTACTGTAGGTGTGCTGTTTTGGGATCCGCGGTTTCGAATGGGCGGTTTGGGCGGGGCACCATGTCGGATGACTTGTGGGTTGTTAGCTAATAGTACTGTACTCCGAGTAGTACGAATATGGACTTCGAATCTGACATAGCGTCTGTGTCTGGGGAGCCGTCTGGGGTCTGGGGGAGATAGTGAGACATTCAAAAAGAACTCGGCCGTCAATTATAGAACTCGGAAGTCATTATTGCACTCGTTTCGTCCTCTAACAAACAGGCTCCACATAATTAAATTTTTCTCCAGTAATTTTACCATCCATATGTAGCTCACCGATACGGGACGATGTACCCAACTACAGTGTACAGTAACCGCGAGTTAGGATATGGCAAGGTTGCATCAATCCCAAGCGCAACCGTCCTCAAATAAATATTTTGTGGCTGAGCTCGATCAGCCAGCCGTCTTCGTGCGTGTTGTCTTCTGGATGGTTTGTGTCGTTTTTGAGTTATTTCGTCCTTGGTTCGGTCGTGGCGGGTTTGTGTGCTGCTTTCAAGCTGCATGCCTTTTCTGGACTTGTGACTTGTGGATGTTCTACTGGCTTCTAAGTTGAATCCATGGAGACTATGGACTTAAGCTTTGGCACTGTCCCTGTAACAATGATGAGCCGATGGTACGTGCAGTCGTGCAGTTGTTGATTACTGTACAGCTACATAGGTACATGTTGTATGTACACTTAGCTTTGTACTCCCATTGCGCTCCCCTTCATCTGGAACGATACCCTTATGCATAAGGAAGTCTCAGTCCCTCCCTTCACAGCTTCTGTCAACACTTTCTACGTACAGTACGTAGTCTGCGATTGCATGAGTGGACAAACTACTAGCTACGGTAGTCTAATAGCTAGCTAGCTAGATTCACTGGTTTCGGGTGGTTTGAGACTTTGGGGGTTTATTTGCTTTTGGGGTTTTGAGCAGGTAGATTTTGGAATGATGCATGGCAATGGTCGTGCCACCTCTAGCTACATCTATCTCATAATGTTTGTAAAATTGCTACTAGGTACTACGGTAACGGTGGCTAGTCTATTGCATTCGTCATACAGTCTGTCTCTACGATGTTTGGTCTTGTTCCGCCTATGCATACATACATATGATGCATCCTTAACCTTGGATGATCTTCATGGTTGATGCTCCCGAACATACTTGTATGGATGCAAGAGGCAGCAGTCTACAAGGTTTTGAATAATTAGCTATCAAAGGAGCAGGCGATAGTATATTACTAGTTAGTTCTAGTTTCATTGCTTTGCTTTCGAGGATGCATTGACTTCCATCATCCATCAAGCCATGCTAGGGCATAGCAAATATCCCACCTTTGGTCTTGCTCGCGCACCAAGCCGATTCCTGAAGCTGATGACTGCTTTGGAACTTTGAAAGGTCAATATCTATTCATTCATTCATTCATTCTGGACGTCTAAAGGTCGGCTCGGTTGGTGTCAACCGTGGTCGAGATGAATGAACCAATTCGAATGAACAATCGAATCAATCGGATTCGAAATCGATTTTTTTCGGATGGAAAGATCCAAGAATAAGGGAGAAACAGAAGATACGACGATAACATGAAAGAGCCAACGCCGTGCTTATTGTTGGCGAGTGCATTGAATGCATAGCGGTGTCTGTCTACTACTAGCTAGCTAGTATCAGAATGACTCAGTGGTTGGTGTTGTTGTGTACTGGTATGGCAGTGGCGGGCCATGGATGGTCCATCCGCCGCAGCTTACCAAGACGACGATGTTCCGGACCACTTGGTTTTTGCAGGATGACAGCTGCCGTTGACGGTGATGAGGAAGTGTACAGCATCCGGTACAGTCCCAACTTTCATCGTCACATTGTGTCCACCGCTACTAGTAGTAGTAGTGGCAAGAAGCGAGTTGTCCTGGAGAGCTTTGAATGGTTGGACGAAGCGCAACGCAAATATCCGACGGCGTCACTCGAGCCCATGGACTTGCCGCCTCCACCTCTTACCACTATGCATACATACAACGAGTCGTCATCATCCCACAGTACGCGTCAGCATCCTTCAGACGAACAAATCCAATTGTCCGAAATTGTGGCAGGCGCGGGAATGCACGAGACGACCGTGTATTACCGCGACGACACACACAATAGCAGCAGCAGCAGTACGACCGTCAAGGCCAACAATGGTGGTGCCTATCTCCTCCGATTCTTGCAAAAACTGTACACCACATGGCCCACACTGAATCCGGCCGAAATTCATCGCGCCGTCATGGACAAGTTTCCACGGATTGCCTTTTACGACGCCGCATTGGTTCATGAACGACTCTTTTTTCTACTCTCGCCCTTGCCGCCTCCTAATGTCTGCAATGCTACTACTACTAGTAGCAAGGATACAGACTTTCCACTGCTCTTTTATCGATATGGCTATGGCGCGGGGTGGACGCCCAGTCAACTGGCACAGGCATTGCAAACACTTCCGCAATTCTGGTTGCCCCTTTACTTGAGTGACGCATTGGCATCGTCTCGTCGTCCCCAAGACTTTTTGCCCTACATTTTCTATCATCTCAATTCACAGCAACAACAGTCACAACAACAACAACAACAGCAGCAGTCACAACAGCAGTCACAACAACAACAGTCACAACCAGTATCCACTCTACATCATCCTCCGGCACTCGATACGGATCTGTCACTGGGTGTGACAGCGGCGGACATTGCCAGTTGGGCCCATGCGCAATCGGCACTGGGCATGACATCCGCGCAATGTCAATTTCTCTTGCAAGCATTTCCATCGTTACGGACGTGCGACGTCCAACCCGGGTGGGACATGTTGCTGCAAGGACCCGTTCGCTATCAACTCCACGAAGATGCCATGGCATATTTGCGACTGCGATTGCAATTATTGGATCCCAGTCATATTGTCTGTCTCTTCAAGACATATACACTGCTGACGCACAAGCGTGTGGCGCCATTGAAGAAGAGTTGTGACTATTTGCAATCAGCACTCCAATTGAAGTCGCGGGAGCTACAACAGTTGATTCAGCGCATGCCGTCATTGTTGGGCAGTTCCACCACGAGTTTGCAACGACGCATCGACTTCTTTTTGACTACTGTAGGCATGTCCTTGGAGCAAACCATACAGTCCGTCTTGATACTACCGGCATTGCTCCAATATAGTATGGACAATCTAGAGAGCACCTACGAGTTTTTCCAACAGTACGTGGGCAGCGACGATTTGCCCCAAGTCTTGGCCCGGAAACCTCACATCTGGGGACTCTCGGTCGAAACAAGATTGCAACCCTGGGTGGCAGCAATGCAAGCCTACTTGAATTTGACGGACGAACAAGTCCGCGACCAAGTACTTGGACGAGCTCCCGAATTGCTCCTCTTTTCCTGGAATGGAAATCTAAAACCTAAACTGCAATTCTTGGCCCAACGATTGGAATTGCATCCACAACAACAAGCATTGCCAAGGCTAATTTTGGCAAATCCTCGCATCCTCACCTATAGCATTCTATCTTTGGAACCCAAGATTCGACTGCTGGAAGAACACTACCACAACCCAGAAGCAGCAACAACCGTGCGCGACCTCATTCTCGACAATCCATCGCTCCTCGTTATTGGACACGCCGCGTTGCAAAAGCGACTCAAACACAATCAACACACCACCAAAGTCGGACGCATCCAACGCCGGGTCGTTCAAATGGACGCCGACAATAACCATCCAATCAACGAGTTTGCCACGGTCAGCGAGGCAGCTGCAGCAGCCGGGACCAGCCCCAGTAATATGTATTCCCTCCTACGACAAGGACGAGTGTTTCGAAAAACCAACTCGCGATATGCCTACGAAACAAAAGACAACACAGAGGAAGCAAACGAGGAGGATACAAAGGATGCAGGAAAGGGTGGTGGTGTTCGACACGACATGTCACGGCTCTACGACGTTACCAACGCACCACATTCGTTTGATTGCCTCTATGCATCCGGACGAGTTTGTCCTCCCGATAATGCATCGCAAGCAAGGGGACTTCGGAGGGTGGGAGGGATTGCCGTGGCCATTCCTGGCATGTTGTCCGTCTCCAGTACTGCCATTCTGTTGCAACAGGCAATTGACGATTGTTCCCAAGGGCAACTGCTGCGATTAAAAAAGAATGATGGGGCATTGTCGGGGGCGCTATTGGGATATCCCTTGCTATTGCCATCGAGACGGCGATGCAGCTTGTTTGCCTGTCTTGTCGCGCTCCGTATCGTCACTCGATATGTGGCCTTGTTGACTGGTGCTATTACCAAACAACAGCGGAATCTGGGACAACCAGAGACTGGTAGCAATGCGACAATATCAACATCAGCACGTCGTCCATCATCAGTGCCGTTGCCTACACACGTGGATATTGTCACGGATTCCACCTATGCGTTTGGACTCTTGAACGATACTGCTAGACTGTTGGACTGGGCTATGGCACCGACACAAGCAGATTTCGTCTACCAAGGAGACGAAGGCAGCCCCTCTTGGTGGGCCAACAAGGACATCATTTGGCCCTTGTCGAGAGCCTATTCTCGATTTGTCAACTTTACCCAATCCACAGCAGTGGGAAGCAACATTACAGTCAACTTTGTATTGCAGACACGGGGAGAGAAGAATCTAGTGGCCGCTGCGGCGTTTCGTCAACAAGTGGACAGCTGGGCCAAGGAAGCCGCATCAGTACAATATCAACGACTGTCACTGCAGCAGGAGAGCTTCACTCCGAAATAAATAGTTGGCATTGAGTGAGCTCCTCGTTTTTACAATCGAGATTCGCCAAAGAGAAAATTGCGAGAGGGCCCATGGAACGCATTGTCGGAGCTGGCCGGTTTGTGACAAGGCGGCAACCACGTGATTCTGAGTTGCGATTTCAAATCAAAAGGCAAGCTGAAAATCGTATTCCTCTGCAAATTTGGGAACACTTCTCTCGAACACTGCTCCTGAACACTTCTCCCGAACACTCTCAGTATTGTAGAGTATTACTTTCTGAATTATCAGTGGACAGGCTTCTAGTATTTTGCAGACAATTTTCGTGGACGATTTTTGTAAGCACCGAACCGTACTGCACCACCTCCAAGTAGAAATTACTATGGACCACCTCCGAGTCGAGTTAATCTCAGAGGAGAGCTCCGTTGTTGGCCCCCCTCGTTCTCTCGGCCCACTGGCAAATCATAACAGTGCACTTGAACCCATCGCATCCGTCCACGATGCTTTCACTATTTACTCTGGTTAGAACTCTTTTAAAAAACAAACTTCAACGATTTTTAGATCCTACTTATGTATCATCACATTTTATTAAATTGGAGAGTCTCTGCATGATGCAGTGACAGCCCTAACTTTTAAGTTTCGCCGCCATGATCCCTGCTTTGCGACAAGTCCAAAAAGCCAAGCGGCAGGCCAAAAAGCCAAGCCCCTTCATACAATTCCCCGCCGTGCCAGGAAAGCAAGTCGCGACTTTTGAGATTTGTGACAGCAACCAGAGGGGCTGGAGGATTCCAGCAAAAACTTTACGCATACCGCATAACGATCCGGGAAGGAATGGGAGCGTTGGTGGGTGCGACTCCTTCAAAGCCGAGCCATTCCGCTAGCCAACTGTTGGTCTTCCCATCCCTGGTCATCCAACTGCATTGACCAGCAGGTTTATCCTGGGTAGTCATGGTCTGCCAGAGGATTTTGCCAGATGTTGGGTTGTACACGCCGGTCCACACAGTGGTGACTGGATTCGTTCCGTCCGAGCAGAGAGCCGAGATGGTGTGATCCAGTGTGAAGGACACCCTGTTGCCGTCGAGGACCAAGGGAATTCTCTCGGGGAGATCCACGTACGTCGGAGACACCCCGCACCCCCCTCCGATGAAGGTGTTGATCCAGTTCTGGTCCACGCCGGATTGCGATCGAGACCAGGTGCAACTAAACGTTGTGACGTCGTTCCACAATAGCTTTCCCTGACTTCCGCAGGCACTGCTGCCCGCATCCACGTTGGCCCTGTACACGGCCTTGAAGGTCGAGTGGCCATCGAGGCATCGGATCGCGGGAGCCTCCGAGAGGGTCAGGTCGACCTCGTACTCGATATACGAGCTCGAGCCAGCTCCCTTCAGAGCCAGGTTATCGTAATTGATGCTTCGGTGGGTCCCGGGAGAGCCCCGAGCGGTGGAAGAGGCCGCCGTTGGGGCCTCCGTTGGGGCCGAAGTTGGGGCACCTGTTGGGGCCGCCGTTGGAGGAGGCTCGCAGTCGTACTCCGCAATGAACATGTAGTTGTTGGTGCCTGGTAAGATATTCCATGTCCCGCCGCCGGCCATACTCACATAGTCGGCATTGGCGGAATTGTCGGGCTCGCCAGGGGCCCAATTGGTGTACGTGAGTGGCTCTCCCGCAACCCACTGAAAGGTCCCTTCGCTGCTTGCGTCGTTCAGGCCGATCCAGACTTGCTGGTTTTGGCGGAATGTTTGAACAAAGTCATTTTCTGCCTGGGAACCGATCGTGACAAGGTGAGCCCGCATACCACCACAATGTGTTGGGAGTCTCGACACAGTCCTTGCCGCGAAGGCGTAGTCTGCGCTCGGAAAGAGTTGGTAATAGTGTCCTGCATCGCTGCGTCTGCTCTTGAGGGGGGAGACCGGTCTGTTGGGATCAGGAATGCTTCCCAACGTAGCTCCAACGATTTGCCAAACTTCCGTCGAAGAGGAGTGCTGCGCTCCAGAGCTTGAACCGGCGGCAGTACTGGTAGGACGTAGGTAGTAGTTAGTGTGGGTCTTGATGTAGAAACGATCATTGCCATGACCAATGGCTGGAATCAACTCAAAGGTTTCACTGGAACCATGCAGCTCCGTCCGTCAGATAAACGGTACCGTTTTCTGCAGCGCCCAAGTACTTCCCTTCTTGGTTCTCAAGAATACATTTGCCATCAAGGAATCTTGACAAGGTAAACTTTATGACAGCGTCGTCAGTACTGTCTGTCAAGACAACCGAGCGACCACCATCAGCACTCGTGATCACAGACTCAAAATTGGGCGCGGCAACAACAATATTGACTGGATCAGGGTGAGTATACCACCTGGTAAGCTCATCTTGGGTGTTGGACACGTAAACAGTCCCCTCATCGTCTGCAGCCAAGTACTTGGGTTCAGGAAATTGTCTTATCTTCAGGTAGAACGCCGACCCATCGGTTCCATCAATGTTCACCTTCTCAAAGATTCCTTCTAGTCCCTGATCTTCTGATAAGTGGACAGTTCCATTGCGATGTACCGCTAGGTACTTCCCGTCGTACGTTTGAATGGTGATTTTTCCTCCCAACAACTTCATCACCCTCCACAGCTGTTCGTCATCGCCCAAAAAGACTGTGATGTTTGAAATTGGCGTGTATTCGTACTCGGAGTGGTTAGATGCATCCAAGTAGGTTCCAAACGATGATCTGAAGGGGATCATGTGGAACTCCGTACTGCCAGTGACAAATTCCCATTCCTCCGTGGAATCGGGGGTGGCGGTTATTACAGTATCCACAAGGTTCTGGTCTGGATGAAGAACAGCACTTGGACGATCCAGCACTCCATAATGTCCACTGGGGGTTGCCCTCAGATTGCCACAATAGTTTGGTTGCAGTGCTGCTTCGTTATAAGAATAAAGAAAGATCGTCTTCGTGTTGGGGCTGCTCTCCCGAACCCAGAATGAGGCATTGCCATCATGGTATTTGTCCTGCCTGGTAAGAAATGAATCGGCGGTGTTGTCGAGCATGGATGGGTGAGAAAGATAGGTGTCATTGTACTTGTCCTTGAATGAGATCAGATCGTAGGTTGTCTTTTGTCCACTCGGGTCGTATCCGAAATGTTCAATCGTTTTCGTGTCTTCGATGGCTCCTGTTGCATCAACGGCGCGCCAATCCACAACCTCCATGACCCACAACTGGACGTCCCCCCCATAGTTGGCAGCATCCACAAGTTGAACCGCGCTGGCCCCGCCTCTCGAATCGGGCACAAGATAGGTTCCTGCCGCTTTGGATTTGATTGCGACCACTTTCGGCTGTAGGTTGAGTGGGACAAACTCAACGGGCTGCCAATCATGATAAGAGTCGGTGGCAATGCAACCACCCTGGCGACAAGTGGAAAGGCCCTTGCCTCTCCCCTCGAAGCCCGGACGATTGGTCATTAGGTACGTGACGCCATTGCGTGTCACCTTTTTAAATTTGTGACTCGAAAACTCTCCATCACCAACGTCAAGTTGGTGGTGGAAAAGCCTCATGTACCTGCAATCGAGGGTGTGATAGCTGTGGGTGCCATCGCCATTGTCAACAGGGATCCACAAAGCCGTTTTCGAAGGGAATTCTCGTAACGTTATTTCTCCGCGCTCGTACTCGGGCTCGTCTTTGTAACCCAAGTATTTTCCCGTGAACTTGATCATGATGGCTTGCGAACGGTCTGTTTCGCAGTTGTTACTAGTAGCTTGGATCGGGGCGGCTGTGGGCGATTCTTGACCACCCCCACTACCGGCATCCGGACTGCTCAACTTGTCGCACGTGTCGTACGCAAATGCAGCACCGATGCCAGACAAACCTTTTGATTGTTTGAGGTTGAAATAATGAAGGGTGGATCATTGGTGTGAGACGAGACAACGTGCAACCGAAGAAGAAACAATTGGGACGATGGACAAAGCCTTACCAGAAGGATCTGTTCCACAATCGCCTTTACAGAAAGGATGAGGCGCATGTACCAGGACGCCGTTAGTTCCCCCCTGGCCTTGGCTTGATCGAGCATGAGAATCATATTCCGGACAAACATTGTGAGCTGTGTCACAAGCGATGCCGTGTCATAGTTGAGGTACTTTGAAAGCCTGGCCGCCGCTTTCGAGGCGATGGGTGCCAAGGATTTGGGAAGCTTGCTGATGAAGCTTGCCGTCCTGGGGGGTGCGGAACCCGGCATGGTAATGCTAAGGCTGGCTCCAAAGGACAAAGATGCCAGGACAGCATTGCCAGCGGCGTATCCAATATTTCCCACTTGATCCGCAACCTTCAATCCACACATGACATCGTTCATGGCAGCACCCGCTCCGCAGTCGACCCAGCCGGGAGGTGGCCCTGCCCAGCAGATGGGTCCGTTACCGGTGAACCCTGGCTTGCACCTCTCGTAGCACAACAGTCCGTGCTGTTCTTCCAGGGTGTCATGACACTGCAAAGGACTGGGGTTCCCGGCTTCGACTTTTTTGGTGCAGGAAGTACCGAGTTGGCGTCCCATGTTGAGCTCTCCGCAATTGATTTTCGGCTCGCACAAGTTGCAACCCACGGGTTTGAAGCCTTCCTTGCAGCGGGTGTACCACAATCCCAAACACAGCTCACAATCGTGGCCGCACCATTCGGCACGGATGTGCCCAATGCCGCGTCCGTAGGTGTCCTGATCCTGGCGGCAATGAAAGCCGGTGTCGGTCCAATCATGGGGGCACTTGGTGTGACAATCGAGCCCCCACCGGGCCATGTTTTTTCCGCACTTTACGTAGCAGAGTTGACCAACCCGATCCTTGTCGCGGGGACAGAACCGCAATGCCTTGCCGAGCCCCCGACCGTAGGACGACTTCCAACAAAACTCATGACCTTCGGTGGACAATTCGCGTTCGGTGCCACGCAACATGGCGTTGAAGGAGCTGCTGCTGCTGCTGCTCGTGGGGGTTTCCAAGGAAGTGGTCCCCTGGCGTCCGCGAAGGGCGATGGTGGCATTTGGGGCCGTCTGCCCATGGGCAAAACCCGTCCACAACAACAGAAGAAAGAGGAATGAGGGAACTGGTTGGATCGCCATGATATATGATAATATGCTCTGCTAGCAGTCAAGTGGATCCGATCCAAAGGTGAAGGCAGTGAGTGAGATTCCTGAATTGATTCGGTATCAGTGATGGCCAATGTATCGGTACCGAGCGTTGATCTATTTGCTGTACGCTTGTCTCTCCTTTGACTAGACGTTGCTGAGTTTCACGGATTATCAGGTGTGTGAGTGCCGTACTGCAGTACTGATGGGACAAGTGGCTGCTTTTAAGGTCGTAAATAAAATGTATATTGCAACAAGTGCTTTGATTCTCTTTCTGTTCGGTTTTGGCAAACAGAATATTTGTGAGCCCACAACAAGGTGGCTTTTTCGCAATTGAGGTCCAGAGATACGCAGACAGAATGGGTCTTGGCGAGTGGAGGTTATTGATAAATAGTACAGATGTGTATATAGTAAAATATTACTGTGACGGACCCTACTATAGTTGGCGATACTTAGGCGAATTCAAATTTTGACACCTAACTCCCGTGTGTCAGTTGGGGTCTTGTATGGCCTTGGAAGACTTATTCGCTGAGGTGCACCGTACCTCTCGTGTCTCAAAAGGTACGGCCTCACAATTTGATATCCGTGTCAAGTCGAGTCATTGGAAAGATACAGTCCATTACAGTAGAGACACTGCATCACTATGTTGCTTACTGCTAGTCATGCATTCAAACAGTGGCTAGATGTTAACAGTCGCTACCCTTACAATGAGTTGAGGAAAACAGGCAGACTTATAAGCTCAAGTATGTTTTGCTGGAGGATCAAACAGACAGGGAAGATCCCAAAACCCAGTACTATCTTGTGAAGACCAGATACCTGTCCAGTGGCATCCTGGAACAACTCATCATGGAAGGGAATGCGCTGCCCATGACTCCTGATCAGACTTGGCTCTTGGAGGAGATGTTTGTGTGGGGTGTCAGGCACAGCAATGAATTGGTACAGTGAAGTGTTGTCTGAACTGGCATGGCAAGTGTATGAACATGAACCTGTCACAAGGAAAGAGATGTGCAGAGATGTAATCAAACCACTTATGAGAGGTGCCCTTCACCAGCAAGGTATTGGTGGAGACCATATTGAAGTCAAGTCTTTGTTACTTACAGAGTGGAAGAGTGGTTTGACACAGAGTGTTGGAGCCAGCACAAATATAACCTGAGTGGAATGACAATCAGTAGTGAGCAGTACATTATCAACAGAGCTGCATTCACTCTCCATCATGGTGGCTACTCTACCCAATGTATTGAATATTTGTCAGCTCTGAAAAGAAAGGAAGCAGCAATTGTAAGACTTGTTGTTTTGTTTGTTATCAATTAGTGGCCAAAGTAAGAATAGTAACAATAGTGGATAACTTACAAGATACAGTGTCAAACCAGTCAGCCACAGTAGTTGCTTGCTCATTGTGGATGGCATGAGTGCACTTCTCTCCCATAGACAGCTGACATGAAATTCCTCTCTCTGTTTGCATCTGCAACAATAGTCTCTCTTGCAGGTGCAGCAACTCCTTCTACAGCCAACACATGATCCTTTTTAAGGAACCACATTCCTGCTGTTTTCTGTGAGT